GGAGGGGGCCTACATTGTCCCTAGTCTGTCTTTTATTTGCTATGTACCTGTGGAATCCCTTTCTGTTATCCTTAACATCCCTAGACACTTTAATTATAACTGGGCCTTAGCATTCCTAACCTGGTCCCTAGCTTCCTGGACAACATCCCGGTATTCTTCCCAGGCTGTCTGTCCTTGCTTCCACCTTTTACATGCCTCATTTTTCCCTCTAAGTTTCTGCAGCAGGTCCTTATCCATCCAAGGAGGTCTCCTGGACCTCCTGCTGCATTTCCTTCTAGACGGGATCACAGTATCACAGTATGTTAGAGATTGGAAGGGACCTCAAAAGATCATCTAGTCCAATCCCCCTGCCGGAGCAGGAACACCTAGATAAGGTTACACAGGAACGTGTCCAGGCGGGTTTTGAATGTCTCCAAAGAAGGAGATTCCACAACCTCCCTGGGCAGCCTGTTCCAGTGTTCCGTCACCCTCACTGAGAAGAAGTTTCTTCTCAGGTTTAAGTGGAACCTCTTGTGTTCCAATTTATACCCATTTCCCCTTGTCCTTTCATTGTTTGCCACTGAGAAGAGCCTGGCTCCATCCTCGTGACACTCCCCCTTTATATATTTATATACACTAATAAGGTCACCCCTCAATCTCCTCTTCTCCAAACTATAGAGACCCAGCTCCCTCAGTCTTTCCTCATAAGGGAGATGCTCCACTCCCTTAATCATCTTAGTTGCCCTGCGCTGGACTCTCTCCAGCAGGTCCCTGTCCTTCTTAAACTGAGGGGCCCAGAACTGCACACAATATTCCAGATGAGGTCTCACCAGGGCAGAGTAGAGGGGAAGGAGGACCTCTCTCGACCTACTAACCACCCCCCTTCTAATACACCCCAGGATGCCATTGGCCTTCTTGGCCACAAGGGCACAGTGTCGGCTCATGGTCATCCTGTCGTCCACTAGGACCCCCAGGTCCCTCTCCCCTACACTGCTCTCTAACAGGTCGTTCCCCAGCCTATACTGGAACCTGGGGTTGTTCCTGCCCAGATGCAGGACTCTACACTTTCCCTTATTATATTTCATCAAGTTATTCCCCGCCCAACCCTCCAGCCTGTCCAGGTCCCTCTGGATGGCAGCACAGCCTTCTGGCGTGTCGGCCGCCCCTCCCAGCTTAGTGTCATCAGCAAACTTGCTGATAGTACACTCAATTCCCTCATCTAAATCGTTGATGAATATATTAAATAATACTGGTCCCAGTACCGACCCTTGAGGCACTCCACTAGATACAGGCCTCCAACTAGACTCCGCCCCATAGACTACAACTCTCTGGCTTCTCTCCTTCAGCCAGTTCACAGTCCAACACTCCTGGGATGCAACACTCCTGGGATTGAAGTAGGTGATCCTTGAATATCAACCAAGAGTCTTGAGCCCCCCTGCCCTCTAGGGCTATATCCCATGGAACCTTACTAAGCAAGTTCCTGAAGAAGCCAAAGTCTGCTCTCTATGTCCAGTGCAGTGAGCTTGCTGCACACTCTTCTCACTGTCCTGAGGATCAAGAACTCAACCATCTCATGATCGCTGCATCCAAGGCTGCCCTGGAGCATCACATTTCTGAAGGGCCCTTCCCTGTTGGTGAGCACAATGTCAAGCATGGAACCTCTCCTTGTTGGCTCCTCTGTTACTTGCAGAAGGTAGTTGTCTTCCACACTATCGAGGAACCTCCTGGATTGCTTGTGCCAGGCCATACTGTCCCTCCAACAGATATCAGAGTGGTTGAAGTTTCCCATGAGAACAAGGGCCTGAATGCACGAGCCTGTTCCTATCTGTCTGTAGAGTGCTTCATCCACAGATTCCTCTTGGTCAGGCAATTTGTAACAGATGCTCACAATAATGTCCCCCATCGCTGTTCTCCCTTTAACTCTGACCCACAAACTCTCTGTTGACTGCTCACTTTTCCCCAGACAGAGTTCCATACTCTCCAGCTTATCCCTAACATAAATAGCAACTCCCTCTTCCCGTCTGCTGGCCCTGTCCTTTCTGAAGAGCCTGTAACCTTCCATTCCAACACTCCAGTCATAGAAGCCATCCCACCATGTTTCTGTAATGCCTATTATATCACACCCTTGTAGACGTGCACACATCTCTAATTCCTCTTGTGTGTGGGGACATGCTATGGGTTTTTGTATAGAGGCATTTCAGCCGAGCTGCAAATGAAGCCGGCTCTTTGGCTGGAGTGGCTGGAATATCTCTACATTGCTCCAAGCATTTATTATAGGTGCTTTGGGATGGAATGATGCCCCCCTCCTACAACACATCTAGCTTAAAGCTTCCTTGACCAGTCTGGCAAGCCTCCTACCAAAACCTCCTAGACCAGCTCCACCAGCCCCCAGTAGACCTGGCCTACTAACTTATGTCCCATGTTCAATACACCCAAACCCCTGACTATGGCACCACTGTTCTATTTAATAATCTGGTCAATCCACCTAGCTTTTGTAAGGTCCTCCACTTTATCCTGGAGAATTGACAAAAAGACTATCTGAGCTCGAGAGCCCCTAAACACCTCTCCCAATGCTCTGTAGTCCTTCTTTATGTTCTCCAGGCTACTGCAATTTATATCGCTAGCACCCACATGGATCACTAGAAGTGGGTAATAGTCAGTGATTTCTCCATCATTTCATTCCACCAATCAGTTCAACCATAATTTCCAACTGTACAACTGCTGAACAGGAACTTACCAAGAATAACTTTTTGTCTTTTCTCATCACAAGATGTGCTGTATTTCTTCGTCTGCAGACCAGGATTTTTCTGTGTGTGAATTGGGAATTTTTCATGTGAATAATACTTTTAGATTGATTGAGCACACTCTTTGTTGCCTAAGTCCCAGGATGGCTGTCATTTCATTCTGTGCTCACATCACCCTCTGATGTATCTCTCTAAAGACAAAAATTATATTCATGCAATATGAGGAAACCAAAAGATATGAAAAAGGCACTTATAATGTTTGTTGATGACTAGCAAAAAAAATATTTCCTGGAGTGGTGTATTTTTCTTTCTTTATCAGGTATAGAAGAAAATTTCCCCCCCGAAGATAATTACACATCAAATATCCTTTTCTTTATTGTGAAAAAAGAAGAGCAACAACAATAGCAGCAGTAGCATGAAGTCTTGAAAGCAGTTAATATAGGATATTTACCAAATCATATTCTTGGTTGTGAAGTCCCCTTTTTCTTAATATCTTTATGGCAAAGAAGATAAAAAAATACTAAGGTGAGTAATTCTAAGCATTCTATGTTTTTTCTTGATTGTCTCACACTTCCATGCTAAATTCTGTAGTACAGTTATTAAACTCTAAGTTACGTTTGACCAGCTACATATCCAGCCAAAACATGCTAATGTGTGACATACATGCCTGAAACATGGACATTTAGAGATATATCAATTTACTTACATTAATGTAGAAAGTTGTTATATATCCAGTAATCTAGCTAAGCAGAGAACCTGGGAGTAGTACATCTATCCTATCCTAATGCAATTTTAAGAGGTAGACTCTGGCTTCTATGGGTACTACTGGTAAATACATTGCCCAATACTTATATTCTGTAGTCAGCAAATGCTTGTTAAATTTTTAATGTGTCTGAGAGGCCAGATAAAGTGAGGCAGCAATAGACTGAGCAATTAAGTGAGTGAATCTTATTGAAGTTTTCTCTGACTGGAAATTAAATGCCAAGTGAGTGAATGGAAATGTATGATGAAGTCAGAAGCAAAACTGTATAAACAATTTGACTGTGCCTACACTTGTCATTCTTAAATTTCTCAGCATATTTTTTACAGTACTAGAGGCGCTTGAGAAAAAGGTCAAATAAAACAAAATATCCAGACACACCTGCAGAAAGTTAGTGAAGACAGCATTGAAGAAATGCAAATGTCTGAGAAATTTAAAGACTTTTATGTCTGAGGATCTCATGAGAAGCAATTAAGATTTATTTTTCATGTGGTTTTTGGTGTTTAGTTTGTTGTTGTTTTTGTTTTGTTTTGTTTTGTTTTTAATTTGGAGTGCCTCTATATAGAAAAATCAAGCATTTTTAAGCTTGCAGTTTTCTAGTTTTCAGGTGGGAAAAAAGATGTTTAAGCCACTTGACCAAGAAGATAGCAACTCCAAAGCTGAAGCATTTTTCAGGTACAAACAGGTTGCCTAAAATTTAGAATTCTAACTCATGTATGCTGGCATAATTGATTCCTAGCTTCCATATTTCAGTTATACAATGATTTTGGCCTGAAAAGTTCATAGAATCCAATGTATTGAAAGATATAGGTGTAATAATAACCAAAGAAGTTGATGTTGGCTGCCAGGCATGCCAGGGCAATGTCTGAAGCTCCTGATTCCAAACAGAACATGCTAACAGCACCTGTTGGAGAGCAGGGTCTTCAGCATTTGATTGAGATAGGTACCGTGAGCAGCTCATACTTTAACATCTGCTTTTGCAAGTGCAGAGGTAAGAACAGTGACTTTTCCTCTGTGTGAATTCCTTCCTTCCTCTTCTGTCAGCAAAGCTGTATGTGGTACAATCAACTGTCATTATAAATATAAATACAATGCAGTCATTGCTTAGGAGAGAGATACTTGCGTAGCCATTTCTCCACCAACTGGAGGAAATAACAGCACTGCAACTTTGGTTCTCTCCTCTTTTAATTCTATGGCATATTATCTGCTTCTTAATAAGGGCTTTTTTTTTTTTTTGTGAGGTAGGCTAATTGACAACAATATTATAACTGCTTACAAATAGGAGTTTCATGTGTAAACTCTGTCTTTATTCTGTTTTCTGTATCATTAATCTACTATTAGCTTTTACATGGAAGAATACATTGCATAGTTCTAAAATTCTGCCCAATACTTTCAAAATAGTCTTCAGCTGTTTCCATGCTGTTTCTTCAAACTAACTGTATAATCTTTTTTTTTTTTTCTCTTTGCTCATATTTTCCCAATTGCAAACAATTTATTAAGATTTTTTTTTTCTTTAGATTTTCAAATCTGAACCATATTGGGTGGGTGGAACTGGTAATGTGGCTTGACTTCTGTTCCATTACCAAGTAAGTAGATACCAAACTGGGAGAAGGGGATAGTTCAGAAGGAAGAGCCACCATACAGGGATACATTAACAAGCGGGAAGATCTGCAAATCATGCAAATGTATGATGTCTAACAAGAAGAAATGTAAAGTCCTATAATCCCAAGAAGAAGTACCACCTGGGAGATCAATGCCTGGGATTTAGATCTGCTGGAAAAGACCTGGAGGGGTGGTGGAGAGCAAGCTGAACACAAGTCAGCTGTGTTCCCTTGCAGCAGTGAAGGGAAACTGTGCATTTGGATTGTGTATCAGTAAGAATATATCTAGCAGATGAAAAGGTGTGATTATTTAGGCCACACATACAATAAAGTTTTGGTCCAGTCTTACTTAGAGAGACATAGAAAAATTGGAGGGAGCATGACAGAGATTTGCCAAAATGTCTGGAGAACTAAACATCTGAGGAAAGTTTGAAAAAATTGGGACCATTCAGCCTAGAGAAGGAAAAGCTCACTTGAGATATAATCATACCCTGATAATATCTAAAAAGCAGCTACAGAGAAAGAGGAGCTCTTTCCTTCACAAGGATGCCCATAAGAAAAGGATGTGTGCAGGGACAAATTCTATCTAATTTCATGAAATAATTCACCATTGCAAATAATGGAACATATTAATAAGTTACTTGGAAAACTGGTGGGATCTCCTTCACGGGAAATATTTGTTCTTAGCTTGCCAGGGCCACAGATAACCTGAAGAAAGACCCTACTTTCAACCAACAACCAGACCAACTATTCTCTGTCCCCACCGTCCTGGGGTGTTCTGTGGTTCTGGGACTCAGAGTAAAGCTCTGACATAGAAGAGGAGTTTTGAAGAATCCTCTTAGGCCTTTAATCTACCAGGGGAGATACCAGATAATCAGGATTAATGAATTTCAAGAATGTTTAGAAACTTTTCCAGTCTGAATCACACAGGCCTTGCCTGAGGCACCAGTCCTGGAAAAAAATTATGCTATGTTTATTGGCAGCACAGTTTAAATGCAATTTTGTCTTGTCATATTGAGATGAAATAATTGCTTGCACATTCCCTGGATACAAAAGGTTCAGTAACATTCTTGCCTGGCTCATTTGTTTTATTCTGTGCTAATTCTTTGGCAATGACAACAGGACCAGATCCCCAATTTGTACAGTATGTAAGGCAGTTTTCCATCCAACAGAAAATATATCAAGGGTGTTTCATTAGTTGGATTATAATTTTTTGCCTTTATCACAATCATTGATCCAGAGTAATTGCATGAGAGTTTGAGGCCCTAGCTATTCTGGCTGTGGCTGGCTCATTGCTCAATTTAATCAACTCTGTATAAATATAAACCTAGTGGGTTTAAAAAGTTTTGGTTTTTTTTAGAGGGGCAATATATGTTATTTTGGGAGAAGTAGGAATAAAAAAAATTTGATTTGAAAAATCATATCAAAATGTCTTTCATTTTGCAAGGCTTTTTTTTCTATTCAGTTTCATTTCATATCATAAGTGTTTTTGATAAAAGCCTTGGTTTTCCATGTCAAGACTTTTATTTTATTTTTTTTTTTTTTTTTTTACTCCTTTTGCTATCCATTCTACTTCTCACCTTTTATTACAAGTGAAAAAAGTGAGGGAAAAAGGTAACAACAAAGAAGCAAAAAACCCCATAACAATGAAAGTGTGGAAACATCTTTATTTTCCCCTCACTTTAATGTTTGAGGAAACAATTTTAAAAGTGCAATAAGAAAAAAAGGGAACAAGAAGGGATTTGTCCGCCTTAATACTTCTGTGGACAACCTGGGTGGTGACATACATCTGCAAACTTACAAAGTCTGCAGGTGACCTGAATTGGAGAGGGCAGAAGGATATGGAGTGGATATGCTCAGGGGCAGGGTTGCTGTGCAGAAAAACTCAGTGAGTCAGAGGGATGAATCCACAAAGATCTTATGCAACGGAACAAGGACAGATACTAAGTCCTGCCCCTGGGAAGAGAGACCCTTGGCAGCTACAGGCTGTGTACTGTGGGGGAGAAACTATGGAAAAGGCTCTGAGATCCTGGCTGGCACTTACCCAAACATGAACCAGCAGCATGCGCTGGCAGCACCCCCAGCTGTATTAGCAACAGCATCCCCCACAGATTGAGGGAAGGGACAGTCTCTCTTTAGACCACACCTGAAGTGCTGCCTCTCAGTAGAGAATGGACTTGGACAAACCAAGGCAATCCCAGAGGAACCCCTAGGATGATCATCGTGGGAGTACCAACCCTGTAAGAAGGTGACAGGTGAGCTGGGCTTGCTGCGGGCCCCCAGCAGGCACCTGCACCTACCTACAGGGAGGCTGCCAAGCCAAGGACCCCAGCTTTTCTCAGGATGATGGACAGCAGGCGGGAAGCACAGGAGGTTCAAGCTGGTCCAAGTTGTCCAGAACTGAAGCAGGTGGTCCAGGGAGCTTGTGCAGCCTCCATCCTTGGAGGCCTTTCAAGAAAAAGCCCTGAGTAGCTTCGTCTGATGTAATTTCTACTGATGTTTTCAGCATTAGCCTGTACCAGAGACCTCCTGAGGTCTCTTCCCATCTATGTTGTTCTGTAATTTTCTGATATGCAAAAAAAGGGACTACATTAAATGTAAAAAAAAAAAAGTGACTTTAAAGCACTCTATGTGCACATATGCCATCATTCCTCAAAGGAAATATAGATCAATTTCTGCTTTTCTGCTTCAAACTTCTAAAAAATGAAACAAATTTTATATTCCAATAAAAATAGACAAAATTTTCCACCACAATATTGTGTTTAAAATTAAAACAACTTCTGGAGAAAAAAAAAAAAAGCTTCTGTTCAGTTCCAGTTTTTGAGTGCTTACTAAAGCCGCTGAAAATCTTATTGGACTCCTGTCTTGCAGTTAGACTAATGATACACAGTAAGCTGATCATGAGTAATCTGGAACAGGATCAGACCCTTTCAGCTTGGTGCCACTGTGTGCTCTGGCTGTGACCCAGATTCTCCTTTTTCTCAAACCCTAAGTGGCTTTTTGCATATTTATATTGCAAAGCATGCACTCACACCACATGAAATCCTGTACCTCTGAATCTTTTTGCAAGCAGTTGTATTTGTAAATCCCACTGAGCTAAATATTTTTGGTGAAGGAGTGAGGAGAGGTGGTTTTTGTTTTCATGTTGTTAGTTCAAATGGTAACATTCAGCTGCCCAGTGGAAATAGATAACATTTCAGATGATTTTCTGGATTTCATAGATTTTTCACAGCTAGAAAACATTAAAAAATACCCCAAACCAAACAAATTGAATAACATTTAAAGGAAATGCTCCCATTTTTGAGTGATAAACCATTCACTTGAGTTCATTCCCCTGTGGAATGCATCAGGCTCTGGAAAGTTAGACAGATGGCATTGAAATGATATCTTGATGATTACTTCTCACGACTGCTTTTTAGATATTTCATGATTATTTTTTTTAACAGAGTATGATTTTTATGGAAGCCTCCCTCACTGAGTCATTTGCAAGCAAATTATTTCATTCTTAAAAGAAATGTGTGGTGCTCTGAAGACAATTACCTGAATATGTGATACTGCTCTCAGTTTATGCACGGATTTCACACAGACATTCTAGAGACATATGAGCTACTTCTTCTCTTCTTTCATATGAAAATGCCTTCCAAGCATATCTTCAATTTTATGTCATTTGCAAACAATACTTTTCTAAGATCACTACATACAGTCAAAAAGTAGAGAAAATGGAAAAATGAATTTCCCAGTGGAATTCTTCAGATGAATGATTTCATATTGTTATAATTTATTATACAAAGTCATAGCATAAAATTTCATAGGATGATGTGAAATGACACTAGATTTCATTTAGCAGGGCCAATTTATATCGACTGAAAGGTGTCCTGAGACTTCTTGCAAACTCATGCATCCTCTTTATGTCTAACGCTTTACACTTTCTCTCTGCAAAAAATCTATAACAAAAAGATTGAAAGAAAATGTCTATTTATTTTTTTTTGTGTGTGACCACAGAATTTAAACCCGTTTTCCACTTCTGTCATTTCTGTTAAGGAGAAAATTATCTGAATGTATGAAACAGAATATTGGTATCTTTTAACACCCATGCCTCATACTGTGTCTGTGTATAAACTGCTATCTTTGCCAAAATCTGATTCATTGTTATTTTTGCATTCATAGGTCAATATCTCTTATGAAAAAGTTTCAAAAACCTTCAGAGAGTAAGTAATACAAGGCTATCCTATATATCCTAATCTATTTTCTGGTTTTGTCCATCATTTTTTGAGACTGTTAGCAGGAAAGATATGATGTAAGCAATTATCTCTTTGTGTCATTAAGAACATATTTTTTAAATCTTCAAATTTTACAGGTTTTCCTTTGGCCAGTAGCAATTCTAATGCTTTCTGATAGTCACAGGGGAAAATTGTTCATTTCATAAATTCTAAATCAAATCAGGATCAGATCAATTAATTGATTTCTTAACAACTTGTAAATAACTGGCAATGAGTGAGCAATGCATTCAGGACTGATATCACTAATTAGATAATCTGCAATATTAGCTGCTTGCAAAACAAATAATCACAAACAAAACATAATAATAATAATAATAGTAAGAATAAGAATATGAATAAGAATAATAACCCCCCCAAAATTTTCAAAACATTATTCTGTAACTGAAGTTCATATCACATACACACACACACACACACACAGTTATGTTCACAGCTTCCTTCCACCACAGGACATGTGGGTTACCAGAAACTCCCCACCATCCTGAGCATAAGGACTTCCCTGTTTGCATTCCCCTCCTGTGGCAGACATGGAAGCCCAACCTTTTTGTACCCCTCCTACCCCCTACAACCTACTAATGCACACACACTGATGTGAAAGGGCCCCATGAGGTAGTTTGCACACACCTGGGGTGGGTCCCTACTTCTGTCCACAGCCTGTGGGAACAGCCACTGGCTGGTGGCAAGACACTGATGGCATTGAACAGAGACGCTGCTCCCTCTGGCCTGGGCAGTGACAGGACAGGGCGACTTCTGGCAATGCCGAGTTTCACTTCTACCCTTTCCACTGCAAAGCCTCTCCCTCAGTTACAAATATTCATGTTCCTTTTATGCTACTCCCAGTGACTCTTTCTTTGTGTCAAAAATCTAATTCCCCCATTACTATTCAATGCAGCTGATCAGATTTGTGTGAATGTTCCAAAAACCGGGTTTCTGTATTCAGTATGTACATGCACACACACGTCCCTGCTGCTCACACTGACAGTCTTACCAGAACAGGCCATTTACCAAAGGTGGGCTGTGCAGGCACCCCGACACTTATCACCGCAG